GGCTGGAGCTTGTTGATGGGCTATAATTCATCTAGACGGTTGGTTAGTGTTATGATGTCTTTCGGTTGTTTTTACTCTGCAGAATTCAGCTAGATGCGAGTTCACTTTTGCTTTGGCCATCGTGGTTCGACACACGTTGTTGATGTGTCGTTTTTTTGTCCTATCACATTTCATAGTGTTCTTGCAAGATGTCTCCCTTAGATGCCTCGTATGTATTTAGGCTGAGTTTCAGGGAGGAGAGTAATCATTCTATGCGTCTGCGTACAATGTATAGGAGATCTATATACACTTTTTCTATTCTAGGTGCGGGCGCCAACAGGGTAGGTATACAGGGAGACACAACGCTGAGGACGCACAGCAGGCCAAGTTACGGGTTGCGTGGTGCGCAGTGCAGTAGAACAGTTTGACTGATTACCTGGTGTCAAGGTGAGGTGTGGGCTTGAGAATATTTCCGCCAATCAGCTTCATGCAGAGCATTTTTTGCATTTTGGATCTGACTCGTGAGTGAGGCGGCGAAGCATTCTCAAACGATTAACGTAAGGCGGCATGGGTTGCTGCGACGTCTTTGCAGAGAGCTCTTCACACAGTGGAGAGTATTTTGTCAAGTTTAATTCAGGAGAAATGAAGATCCATATGTGTAATGGGTTCTTGTTTTTGCTTTGATTTACAAACAATGGGAAGTCACTTTGGTTGGGTTGCGGGAGGGTTTGAGTAGCTTGCAACCCCATGTGTTGTGGCACTAGTGTTTTTTTTCGAAAGGAATTGTCAGACATCATTATATTGGGCACATTATCGTGAAAGTTCCTTAATGTGTAGGCTTGTCATGGAGAAGGGTCTTATACGGGTGGTTATATATTTAGTCTAATGTTAAGTATGTGCAGTAGCTGACGTATTAGTGTGTTTGTTGCTTGACTATGAGGTAGCTCATCCCTCTTTCCCCGTTCTAATAATGTTTTTGTAGAAAGTCCATAGTTATATTGCATTTGTTTTATGAACTAACTTGTGTTAATGGTTGCGCGTGGTGGTGAGGGTGTACTCTTCATCTAGTTGCAGATTTGCCGTGACGGCGCTCTGTTTGCATTGGTCACTCTGCTGAATCCCGTTCTCGTCAATCCCCGCGCCTCCTTGCAGTGGCTTCTCCGTCTTCATTGCTCTGCGCGGATGTGGTGGTGTGTCTCCCTCATCTCGTCCATTTGGAGATTGGAGAAGGCACTAAGTTTCGGTGCGTGGGGGGCACAAAGTTAACGTTATATTGTCAGATCTTCCAGTTGTTTTGTGTGATACATGTACAGATGAGATCAAAATATTCTGTTTCTCTCATATATCTAATATATAAATAACTGTATAATAACTATAATTGTAATATGTTGTGCATATGTACAGCATCTAGTTCTAAGGGTACTATTCCATGGTGGTTTCTTGTTATTGCATTTTTACTAGGGCTGTCAAACGATTGACAATTTTTAATCTCAGATTAATCAATACCTTAAAATTAATTAATCTGATTAATCACCATTTGAAATATGTCCAAATATGCCATTTCTTTATGTGTATCTGTTGTGGGAATGGACAAGATAAATGAAAGAAGTGGATGATCCATACAGTATTGTATGTATGTATGTATGTATGTCATGTATGGTATGTATGTATGTATGTATGTATGTTATGTATGTATGTATGGTATGTTTATTATAACATTGTTCTGTGGTGTCAAAATGAAAGACCAGCCCCACACACCTATCAAATCATCCTAATCCGTGGGGTCTTATTCATTACGTGTTGATTTCTATCAAACACGTAATTTGTATCCGATGTATAGAGATGTACTACAGCAAAGTATTCTCCGTCGGGACTTCCTGCAACAACAACACGCGTTTATCATTGAGTTCTTGATTGGCAGAAGACCATTATCAAGGAGGAATGTTCGTTATATGAGAGAGACGATCACTTACGTGACAAAAGTTTTCAAACACCGTTTCTAGTCTCCGGTATTTCCAGACAAGTGGTACTGGAATCAATCTTACTAACTGCTATCTGTGCAATTCCTTGGCGCGAGTTGCGCGGACTTCTTATTTTGCTTTACTTTACATCATTTTTCATGGTGGGGCTAAGCCATTTCTTGGTATGGCTGTAGCCTACCCCCAGCCCATACCCTGGCGCTACCACTGGGTGGGACTAATATGGGCGGGCATTCTGCGCATGCGTTAAATGCGTTAAATATTTTAACGCAATTAATTCAAAAAATGAATTGCCGCCGTTAACGCGATAATTTTGACAGCATTAATTTTTACATGTGCACACATTAAGACCTAAATAAAAACACAACAATCAATATATACAAAATAACAGTCCCTTCAATATTTTGAGAATGTACATTAGTGCAAGATTGTCCATAGCAGCATAAAAAGTGTCTGGTGCTAATTAAGTTACAATTTAAATTATACAACCATACTGGTGTCTCTTTTTGAAAACGTTGTGTCTAATACAACATGTAACAACACAAGGCAAATTAAATAAGGATAACTAAGAAAACTTGACTCTAAAATAAAAAGAGAGAAAACAGAAAAGACTTATTAATAATAACTTTAGATAGGCAATAACATGAAATTACTTTATATATCATTATTTGAGCACATCTCTTATTTTTTATAATTTAGATAGACTGAAAGTACTTCCTTAATCCAACCCTGAAGGTAGGACATAATTATATATTTTGATAAGTGTGACTCGGTAAACATATCCTGTGACTCGTGACGTGATGGTCATGCATTGTGGTTTTTATTGGCTGGTTCTACTGAAAATGCAGGTAGTAATTGACCTCCTGTCTGTGGTCTCATGCCTTTGTTTTTCAGGTGGAGCAAAATCCTTTTGTTGGGTTTGTCGCCATCGCCATTGCTGTCCTTTGTTCGGGATTTGCAGGTAAAACTGTCAAAGGATTCTGTGGAAATTGTTTGTGGTCCTTTTACCTATTATATCCAATATTTATTTAGCTACCACCCTAAATACAAATACTAAAACACTGCCAAAATGAACACCTGCTGCTGTCCTGAAATATTTCTTTCCTCAGGTGTTGCTAAAATGGAATGGCTGTCATTGAGGTTTCAGATATGTCGTCTCGTCTTACTGTAATTTGAGATTTTTGAGTATTCACTTGTAGTTTTGTGTCCCTTTCTGCTAAAGGCGTGTACTTTGAGAAGGTGTTAAAGAGCTCCGATACTTCCCTGTGGGTGAGAAACATCCAGATGTACCTGTCTGGTATTGTGATCACCCTGATCGGTGTTTTCCTGAACGACGGTAATAATGTCATGGAGAACGGCTTCTTCTTCGGTTATACGCACTGGGTGTGCTTTGTAGTGCGTAAGTACGACTTAAACCGAGGATCATTTCTATTCGATTTCACTTTTTTCCCACAGTATTTTAGCTGACACTGCTCTTTTTTGCCTCCAGTCTTGGCCAGTGTAGGTGGTCTGTACACGTCGGTGGTGGTGAAGTACACAGACAACATCATGAAGGGCTTCTCGGCTGCGGCCGCCATCGTCCTGTCGACTGTGGCGTCTGTCCTATTGTTTGGACTGCATATAAGTACGTTAATATCTCAAACATAAGTGTTGGTGAACTAATGATCAGGGTAGTACCAGTACTGAGAATTAGAGTCCAGTAGTTGGTGCTCCACATTGGTTTAAAACAGGGGTGTCAAACTCAAGGTATTGCAAGAGCTTGCAAAGAATAAAATAAGTTTATTATACGGTTACATGCCGCTTTACAGAAGTAACGTTGCCCATAAACTACATGTCCCACAATGCATCTCATTTTGTGACATGTGCACTGAAGAGACTTGCAATTATTTGCCCTAGACTTCTGCTTTCAGACGTAGTTAATTATAAAGTTATTACCCTATCCAATAATAATCCAATGCAGGGGCAATAATGTAATATAATACATTATTTTAAATATATTATATGTATATTTATGTAGTCATAAAGTTACAACCGGCCCCTTTGAGTGCAACCTTAATGCTAATGTTGCCCGCGATGAAATTGAGTTTGACACTAAAACATTTCCAAAAAGCCCAGAGTGTCCTAGAGTCAAACAAATCCATATTCATTGGAAAAAATGTATTCCTAAATTCCCATTTTTAACAGAATAATCTTCGTCAATCTATATCTGTTAGTGTTTCGCCTTTAAAGAAAAAAAGCTGCATTTTCACTGCAATCATCCCACCTGTTCAAATCAGCCTGCTCCCTGAAGTGCTCCCCATCATGTGTTTCATTTGTGTCCACTTTGATTGTCTCCTCCATGATTTCCTGTTTGTGTTTGTATCATGCTCTGTTGCCTCTTAGCATGTTTAACAAACTGTACGGTGTCCTCGAGTGTCATGGAAGTGTCATTATGTCTTTCTGACTTATATGAATGTCTCATTTTGCTTTTCTTTCCCTCTTGTGCAGCGATCCCCTTCGCCGCTGGGGCCCTCCTAGTGTGTGTTTCCATCTATCTGTACGGACTGCCGAAGTCGGAGGCAATGAAGACGACCCGGCAGGACTCGGACTCAGAATCCAAACAGAAACTGATCAATGTTTGAGCCGCCGAGTCTCTCCTGCTGATGGGGGGGGGGTCTCTCTAGAGACCTAAAGAGCTCTTTGGAGATTTGGGATCCACTTCTGTTAACCTGCAAATGAACACTCAGTTGAGTTGTCTTTATGTTCAGTCCGTCAGTTATGTTTCAGTTGATATGTAGAAAAACACACATTTGACCATAAACTGGCTGCTTTTAATTTCTGTAAATAATCTGAGGCAATCATCAAAGTCTTTAAAAAAATCTTTAGCCATGCTGATGCGATAAGCATTGACAGGACTTTGTTACTAATATTGTGATGCCTCAATATATCTGTTTTAGGAGGCGTATAAATGTAACAACTCCATATCCTGGAAGGTTTTTTTGTCAATCAGTAATTTGTCTGTTTTACACTGTGAAATGTCTATGGCCATATCACATAGTGCTAAATCTGAATTTGCCCGACTCACGGGAAAACATACTTGAAATGATGACGACCGACTGCATGTGTGATTATGTTTATAACATCATCTCTTTAGTATCTTTTTGTATCACATCTGTGTCGCATTCTGTTTTGAAAGTCATTTTAAAGCTTTTATTAAAACTGGATGGAAATAGTGGTGAAAAGGACGGCTGCTTTTTGTGCTCAGCATGTAAGAAATCCTACCAATTAACTCTTAATGGATAGAATTGATAATAACGACTATCAGTTTATATAACGTTCAGTTTCTGTTGAAGCTGTTTGAGAGGTCTTAGATCAACTTTTAGATTCTGCACTTTGTGATGCTGTATCTATGAAATTATTTGTATTTTATCATGTTGGCTTAACTAACAGACACACAACAAATAATTGTGCCTGAGATTAAGTATTTCCCAGAGATCTTTTTAGGTCAAACCAGATGCTACATATTTTCCTATGTAGGACTCGGCTGAACCAGTTGTACCACTCACCATTGCACAAGTTGCACAAAGCAGTTAATGAGAACAAAGGGAGCTGAGATGTATTACCTAACCTGTTATACTTTTATCAAGGGTATTTCCAGCTGTCATCAACAATCAAATAGAGTCACCGGGGTGTAGCCTGCTTCGCTTGTCTGTTTCATCTGCTCGAAAGGCAAGGAGTCTGGTGTAAGCCAGGTAAGGTGCGTTTATTTCTAGAGCACATTTTCAGACACAGAGGTCATTCAAAGTGCTTTACAACATCAGTTACACTTAATAAGAAGACAGTCCTTTACTGCCAACATCGCTGCACGACCCACTCCTGCAAATACATCCTTCAAAACATCAGGACGATTAAAGTTCTGATCCAGGCTCTTTTCATCTCACGCCATACGAGCTCTGACACACATTCAGAGGCAGCAGCCAGACTGGTTCAAATCAAATCAAGTTTTATTTATATAGCACATTTATAAACGATTTTTGGTCGAGCCAAAGTGCTGTACATATAATAAAAATAGCCTACAGTAGAGACACTTTACAGCTAATACAACAGCACAGATTGTTCAGAATATCAGTATGAGAAAAACGACACCCTCTGTCCTTAGACCCTCACATCGTACAAGGAAACACTTCCAGAGAAAACCGACAGTTTAAAGGGGAACATGGGAGAAACCTCAGGGAGAGCAACAGAGGAGGGATCGGACAGACGTGCACTAGATGCCGTGTGTATCTAACTGCGAGCGGGTTTTCAAATGCACCTCGGCCAATCAAATCTATTAAGATAAGATGGACCTTTTTTAATCCCCGTGGGGAAGTTCAGCAGTTTAACAGCAACAGGGTAAGGATGAAAAATCAAGGATTCGCACAGATTAATACAATTAAAATAACTATAAAATAAGAAATGAAGTGAAATGAACATACATACATATTGGGTCATATATACATATTGGATATATTTACATGTGAAAACATCAAGAAGTAAAATAAAAATAAAAACGAATTTCTGTATGTAAAAATGTTGGCTTGAATTTAGCTAGTTTCATATCTTCATGGTTGATCACACTGAAATTGTCCTTTTGAATAAAAAAAGGCAGCTCAAAGTAATCTAATGATCATGAAATGTGTGAAAAAAATGTGAGACCAGATCTTCTGATGATTTTTATTTAAATAAAAAGGCCTTTTATGTACAGTAATAATGAACTAAAGGCAGTGTGGCACCTCAGTTGTTAAATGAACACTGATAATGTAGCTTCACATTTTATCCACCGGTGTGATTCCCAGGATCCTCATCCCGCCGGCCAGGACTGAGCCCGCTCCGCTGAACAGTCGCAACCTCGCCTGTTGACATTTAGAACATAAGATGACTCTTGATTAGTTAAATAAATATTGGTTTTCCTTTTTGCAATTGAGGGCGTTTTGCACGCAGTATTGTTAAGTGACAGAATTTAGTATCCAGGTTATTCGTCTTTCGTCTCCATGATACAGACCTGTTCACCTGAATAGTTTTATTTTCTAATCATGATCTGAAAGTTGCATTTTCAGCAATACATATATTATAATATATACTACAAACATAACCATCTGTAATATACAGCAAATGCATTTAGAAGCAGAAAATGAACATAGAAAATGTAAATATTGACTGTTAGCCTCAGTTGTTCCCTGCATGTACCAGTATGAATACTCTGTAAACCTGTCACAGATTATGGTAACTATATCAATTATCTCAATGTTTTTTAATTTGGAAAGGTCCGTTTTTTTTTTAAGTGGTGGTTGTACTACAATAGATGGCCTGTCTTTTTCTGTTCAAATATTCATATTACAGTTACGTCAAACATTGAAGGGCTTCTTCTTTGATCCTTTCTGTTATTCTAAGCTGAGGGCGTGCCAACTGCCATCTACTGTAGGTAGTGATGCACTAACTGTGTATAACGTTACATACAACCCTAAAGCTACCACTGTCTCAGATAATGAAAAACTACAAAATAAGTGACCACAGCTATGCGGATGACGTAACCATTTTACCAGGAGACTATGCTCCAATTCAAACACTGAACAAATCAATGACTGGATGTGTCAGAACTTTCTCCAATTAAACAAAGATAAAACTGAGGTAATGGTTTTTGGAGCCAAGGCAGAACGTATAAAAGTTAGCGCTGAGCTTCAGTCTGCAATGTTCAAAACAACAGATAAAGACTAGGTGTAGTCATGGACTCTGACCTGAGTTTCAACAGTCACATTAAAACAGTTACTAAATCAGCCTACTATCACCTAAAGAACATATCTAGGATTAAAAGACTAATGTCACAGCAGGATTTGCTTTTATCTTCAGTAGACTGGACTACTGTAATGGTGTCTTCACAGGTCTCACTAAAACATCTATTAGAAAGCTGCAGCTGATTCAGAACGCTGCTGCTCGAGTCCTCACTAACACTAAGAAAGTGGATCACATCACTCCTATTCTGAAGTCTTTACACTGGCTTCCTGTGTGTCAAAGAATAGATTTCAAAATACTGCTGCTGGTTTATAAAGCTTTGAATGGCTTAGACTGCCAAGGCACAC